AGAGAGAGAGAGAGAGAGAGAGAGAGAGAGAGAGAGAGAGAGAGAGAGGAGAGGATAGATACGGTTCACTGCTCACAATGAGGGTAATCATGTTTGCTGCCTCTGTAGAGCTCTCTTATCTATCTATCTTTGTTTTTTGTTTATTTGTTTGTTTCTTGAAAGCCTCACTTGAGGGACCATGCTGCTTTCCCTGGAGGCTCTTAATCAGAAATCCAGCTGGCTGCATCAACACACCCTCCCTAGCTGATTTCTGCTGGCTGTTTGTAAGCCCCAGCTTTGACATCACCTGCGGTCTCCTCTCAAAACTGAACTACTGTAGTCCTCTCTGCTGAAGACGGCCAGAACCAGATTTGATGGTGTTTGAATACATCTGTTTCTTCTCTCTATTTATATGTAGTCTTTTCCTTTTGCTTGTACATACTTAATAAAGTCATTCATTAAAAACCAAAAGCATAGCTACCATAGATCATTCCTTGAGCCATACAGAACATGTATAGCTTTTGAGCATGGCCTTTCTCCTTTCTCAGCAGCAAGCCTGCAAAGTGTTAGGAATATCACAAGAAATTCCCATGTAGAGGAAGACTTATCTTAACCCTTGTGACACAGGTACAGGTTCTCTCTCTCTCTGCCTCTGTCTCTGTCTCTGTCTCTGTCTCTCTCTGTCTCTCTCTCTGTCTCTCTGTCTCTCTCTGTCTGTCTGTCTGTCTGTCTGTCTGTCTGTCTGTCTGTCTCTCTCTCTCTCTCTCTCTCTCTCTCTCTCTCTCTCTCTCTCTCTCTCTCTCTCTCTCTCTCTCTCTCTCTCTCTCTCTCTCTCTTTGAGACAGGGTTTCTGTGTGTAGCCATGGCTGGAACTCACTCTGTAGACTAGACTTGTCTCTAACTCGCAGAGACCCACCTGCCTCTGCTTCCCAAGTGCTGGGATTAAAGGTGTGCTCACCACCACCTGTCTGTGACCCAGGTTCTTATCAGCTTGCAGTCCTAGCCAATGTATCTGTAGGGCCTCCCTACAGTCTCATTTATTGAGAGAGAAGAAAGGATTTTTAGCAACCTTTTGAGATGCAGTTTTAGAAGCAACCAAAATCCTATACATACATACACACATACACACATACATACACATACACACACATATTGCTCTTGGGTTTAACCTTACCTTTTAGAGTCTTTCTGTGAACACATATGCTGTGTCAAAAGCTCTTGCCAATAAACTCCAACTTTGCTTGATGCCAGCTCATTCTGGAATTCTTTTCTGCAGACAAATCATGAATCTTGGTTCTGTTTGAGTAAAGAACTCAGAAAAAGCACTTCTTGGCTGCACCATGAGGCTGTCTCTAGCCATCTGCCCAAGGCTGTTGACAATTCTACATTAATAAATTGAGTTCACTGAACACAAGGGTACATGCCTCCAATCCCAGCACTTGGAAGGTAGATGCAGAAGGACAAGGAGTCCAAGACAAGTTTGGGTCTCACAGAACTGGGTCTCAAAAGATCAACTTCCATGAAAACCCAAACTGAGTTCCTGTGGCTAGGGAGCACCACAAAGTGGTAGAGCACCTGCCCAGAATCCCCCAGTGAGGGGCTGGGGTGTGGTTCAGTGGTAGAGCACCTGCCTAGAATCCCCCAGTGAGGGGCTGGGGTGTGGTTCAGTGGTAGAGCACCTGCCTAGAATCCCCCAGTGAGGGGCTGGGGTGTGGTTCAGTGGTAGAGCACCTGCCTAGAATCCCCCAGTGAGGGGCTGGGGTGTGGCTCAGTGGTAGAGCACCTGCCTAGAATGGAGGGGCTGAGGTGTGGCTCAAGGATAGACCTCTTGCCTGGAATCACCCAGTGAGGGGCTGGAGGCGTGGATCAGTTGTTTGGAGCATTTGCCTAGCACATTTCAGGCCCTAGGTCACCAGTACGGGGAGTTGAAAATGGACAGGGACTAGAGAAACTGAAATCTAGAGAGGTTCTGGGTTTTATCAGATTGCTAAGAGCGCAGGCAGGTAAAGCTAGACTGTAAAAACTCTCTCAGGGGCTTCTTCCCACTGTACCTTTCATCAGAAACTTCTAGCACTTTCTACCCGAGATACGACAACTTTGGCTTTGTATCTATGATGGCAGCCCTTAAGACCAGCAGCTTCACACTGTAGAATAACAGTAAGAATTCCTTTCTTCCTTCCTTCCTTCCTTCCTTCCTTCCTTCCTTCCTTCGTCCCTTCCTTCCTTCCTTCGTCCCTTCCTTCCTTCCTCCCTCCCTCTCTCTCTCCCTTCTTCCCTCCCTCCCATCCTCTTTCTAGATAGGGTTTCATGTAGCCCAGGCTGGCCTCAAACTTGGTATGCAGCCAAGGACAAGCTTGAACTTCTGGTCCTCCTGCCTCAGCATCCTGAGTCCTGAGATGATGGCCTGTACCACCCCTCATTGTTAACTCAGTGCTGGGGATGGGACACAGGGCTTCATGCAGGCTGGACAAGCACTCTACCCACATAGATGCATACCAAACCCCAACTTTCTGCCTCATCAAGAACCAATTGTATTCTGGCAAACATCCTACATTTCATAGATTTTACAGGAATGCACACAAAATGTCTAGAATTCAACAACACATTTAAAAAACCCACCCCATCCTGCTCATATAATCCCTTTTCTTTTAGCTTCAATATTGCCACAGAGGCCTAACTTGTTTTCCAAGATGGAGTCAAGCAGGAGAGAGGTCTTGGCTAATCACACCACAGAGTTCCGTCTTCCCCTTTTTATGCACTGTACGTACAGACCGTCAACAACTGCATCTTATTTTCTCCCTCTGCCTTGATTGAGGCAGAGAAAGGATGCATAGCTGCTGCCATCACAAATATCCATCCAGAGCGGTAATTATCGCATCATTATATTCGCTATTTCACTTGTCATGTACCATTAGAAGGTAACAAGATCATTGTCAGTCAGAGATTGTGGAGATAATTAGAGCATCCACGGGGTAGCAGGAAATCAAATCGGTGCTGGTACCCAGCAAGGCCGAGGCGCCCAATGTAATTAAAGGGGAAATATGCAAAGGTTGAGATGAATCGAAGCCCCCCGGGGCCAGCCACCATGACTGATTGGAGAGCGGCTCTTCCAGGATCTGACTCTGCAGATGGTGACACTGAAATAGGTGTACGGTTAAGAGGCAGAGAGGTCTGCCAGAAATAGCATGTCAAAGAGTGTCTGTGACATCCGTGACACTGGATTCAGCCATGCCCGGGATTTGGTGTATTTTCCAACCCACTGGTTTTCTTTCCTACCCCTCGGTTTTTTGTTTTTTTGTTTTTTTCCTAGTCTGGCAGACCCTCTGGCTATAAAATAGTGTAAGTCAAGTGAGATTTCCCTCAACTGTTGCTCTGGCCATTTTAAGTTTGGGGGTTGTTGTATTCCCCCCCCCCCCCCCTGAAATGTACTCTGCCACTGAGATACTTCTCCAGCTTGGTTTATTTTATTTTTACCTTATTATTTATTTGTGTGTGTGGGATGGGCACACACAGGTGCACATGTGGGTACATTTGCTCTTGGGGGTCAGAGGAGCCTGTTGGATTCCTGGGAGCTGGAGTTACAGGAGGTTGTGACCTACGTGCTGGGAACCAAACTTGTAAGAACATCAAGTGCTCTTAAGCACTGATCCATCTGTCTGTCTTCTAGCCCAGTTTCTTCAAGCCCGGGAGCTCTCCTCATGCCCCTCCAGGAGTCCACATGTCCCTAGACTTTCCCAAGAGTGCTGTGGCACCTCAGGAGCCCATACAGCAGAGGTTCTCAACCTATGAGAGCTACTTTGGGTATCACAGGGGTCGAATATCAGATACTCTGCATATCTAATCTTTACATTATGATCCATAACAGTAGCAAAATTACAGTTATGAAGTAGTAACGAAACGATTTTATGGTTGCGGGGTCACCACATGAGGAATTGTGCTAAGGGGTCTTGGCACTAGGAAGGCTGGGAGCCACTGTCATGCAATACCCCCAATTTCTTTTCTCTTTTGTATTCAAAGCTTATCCAGCAGTCACCTCGGTCCAACTGACCTTGATCGCTTTTTTTTTCTTCCAGTGAGGCACAAACTGCAACCCAAACAGTAAATTCAGCAGTTTTAAAGGAAAGAATCAACATTACATTTTTTGTATGTTTGTACATGTGTGTTGGCACATATGGGGGGTCAGAGGACAACTTTTAGGATTCAGTTCTCTCCGACTGCAGGGATCTACCACGTGAGGACAAAACTCAGGGAGTCCGCTTCAGCAGCAAGTGGCTTTACCCTGCTTTCCAGCTATCTCTCTAGCCCAACTTTATCATGTCTAAACACGGACATTTACCCTGCCGCCTTCTTTTAGACAGGGTCTCATGAAGGCCAGATTGGCCTTAAGGATGACTTGGAACTGTAAAAACAGACAGATGTGTGTGTGTGTGTGTGTGTGTGTATGTGTGTGTGTGTGAGAGAGAGAGAGAGAGAGAGAGAGAGAGAGAGAGAGAGAGAAGAGAGAGAGAGAGAGAGAGAACTTGAGTCAATTCTCTCCTTCCACCAAGTGGGTGCCCGTGATGAAACTCAGATTGCAGGGCTTGGTGACAAATGCTCCGTCCTGTTGAGCCACCTCACGGAACTTCTAACCCTTCTGCCTCCACCTCCCAAATCCTAGGATTTCAGGTGCGCACCACGTGGGCCTCGGGGCTTTTTGAGCACACACAGTGACGACTCAACCATGTTACAACCAGCTCCCTTGGGATGTTCGTTCGACTCAGAACATACAAAATGAAAATCGTAAACAAACGCATCATCACCAAAGGATGCCGGACCAGTTGCTGGCCAGTACCTACTTTGGGAGGGTCACTTGCCAGTGTGAAGAGGACCTTACTTGCATCCTGGGAGATGCCAGGCCAGGGGTGGGGGTGAGGGTGGGGGCGGGGACGGGGGCGGGGTGTCTTTTCTAGAACTTGGTCTGGAGTGCTGGCGGCTTCTTTCCTAACTATGAATGGCACCTCACACAAAGAAACTCTGGAAACTTGGGTCACAGTTTTTAATAACATGGCACATTTACATTACACAAGAAGGCTCCTCCAATGAGACATGCTAAAGATTGCGTTGCTTCCCTTCCTGTTGAGTAGGATCCGGAAAGGACTTTTTTTTCTTTTTTCTTTTTTTTTTACATACAAGAGAAACAGCAAAAAAGGCCTGTACAGAGCGATCCCTTTACAATGCTGAGAGCTACCACTACAGTCCCAGTGCACAGAACCCTTGGGATTTGTTTTTTTAGTTGTTATTTTTAAAAAAACAAAACAAAACAAAAAACAGAAAAAAAGAAAACACTGCACACGTCTGGTGTCCACAAAATCTGAATTCACAACTAAACCTTCAGTTGACTACTAAAATAGATCTCTCTGCTTTTAAAAACAATGGTCTGTAGTTTACATTTTTTTCTTTTTTGGAAAAAAACAAACAAACAGGATAACAATGTCAGGTAGCACTTTAATATACTAGAGGACCAAATGGGACTAATTTTTATTTCTTACATGTATTTTACAGGCCAGTAGACAAGATATATTGTATTTTCTCGGCTAGTAAAGTCATATTCTCTCCAAATGTGTAGACAAGAGGGTTGATGTCTTTATAAAAGTGTCATGAAGACATTAAGACTGGTGAAAACTCAACACCGCACACACGCACACATACAGGCTCACACAAGAGTACACGCACGCGCGCGCGCACACGCTCGATTCTCTCTGCCACCTTTCGCCCTCCGCAATTCCTGATGGCTCTCACACGATCTACTTGCTCGGTTCTTGCCAGGCTTCCATTTCCTACTGGAATGTCAACGATTCACACTGGGCTCCGTGTGCCTTCGATTCGTCAGTTACCATGGAAACACACCCATCCTCGGAGAAGACCCGGACAGGACCTATGTGAGTGCCCTTAAATCACATTATGGAACAAGGAAGTGTGTACATGCTATGAGATAGGACTCGGGGGTGGGGGGGGTCGGGAAGGCATGGTTCCCACTTGAAGCTGCCTGCATCAGAGGTGACCACACATTCTGGTGACCTGTCTGTGCCTGGCAGGCAAGGCCCACCTGCCCCGATTATCAAAAACAATCCCATCTTCCCTGGGCAAAGCTGCTTCCGGTTCTTAGTTACACTTCCGGGGGGTGCATCCTTCCCCATCACTCCCCCAGAAGACCACAAGCAGCAACTTCAGATGCAAAGTTCCAGCCTGGGGTTCCAGATTTAAAAAAAAACAAACAGGTGGAGGGTTTATCCATTTGAAAAACCAAACCAGGGGAGAGAAAAAAAAAAAAAAAGGAAAACAGTTGTATAACGTCTCAGGTAAGCGCTTGTTCAGGGAAAATATGACCTTAAGTATGTTGTAAATGGATTTGAAAAGGCTCCTTTGAATTGGATGGGCTTTGGGGAAAAGCCCTCGTGTTCATTGCATAGTTGAAGGGTTTAGCAGATGGGAACGCGGCCTCCTTGGAGGGCCGAGTTCACTGATATTAGACTTGTAAATAGCACATCTGAAGAAGTATTAATGTATTATGTTACTTAATCTTTACCTATTTACATCTGTACAAGTAAAGCTTTCGTCTTTATCTTTTGCATATATGAACCGTCAGCTCACGAAGCAATCTCTTTTTACACTCTATGTACACGCCTCCTCCTCTGAGACAGCTCTGGGGGGGCAGACAGCTGCCCCCCACCCCCATTATCATCAGATCCTTTGTGTCGTTACCGTCACCGTTTTGGTTCAAATCAAAGTTAGATGCAAGGAACAACGAAACTCAAAAGGAAGGAAATGTTAAGGGACAAACGGGACCTGGGTAAAAGGTCTGAAAAATTCCAACATTAATATACAAAAACGTTTCAACACCCAAACGGAGTCTCTGTCCATTTTTTTTCCCAGGGGAAGAGTTGAAGCTCTGCACCTCTCAGTGTTGGGGGTGCAAGAGTTGTCTCTTGAGTCTTGGGGGGGTGTTCCTGGGGTTTCTCCCCAACTCTGAGGTCCTCCTGGTCCTCCTGGCTTTATCGAGCTTCGATGTCCTTCAGTGTGTGGGACGGTGGCCTCTCTCGGATTTCAGCCGACAGAGGCGTAGTCCTCCGGGGGGATCCCGGGCGGCCCCCCAATGTGGAAATGAGCGGAGGTGGGGCGCTGAGCGCCGCGGTGGGCGGGGTCTTGTTGAGCAGTCCATTCTGGTGGCCCGCAGTAGGGCTGATGCGAGGGTAGTGCATACTAGGCAAGCCTGGCGTGAGCAGGCTCGGGTGTGGGAGGTGTCCGTCCAGAGAAGCGGGGTGCACGGCGTGCAACCGTGGGTGCTCGTAGTCCTCCCGAAGCACGTGCAGCCGCTCACGCTCATCCAGGTGTCCGCCCCGTTCATGCTCCCGGCGAGGGTCCACGGCTAGCGGATGATGGTGGTGATGGTGGTGGTGGCTATAATCATGAGGCTCCCTGTCCCTGAAGGAGCGGTCGGCTTCGTACAACCGGGGTGTGGAGAGCCGGTGCAGGGGGTCATTCCTGAGCAGGAAGTCCCTGCCCAGAGGGTCCCTTCGGTGCATGTCCAGGTCCCGGTAAGGATCCCTCAAGGGGTCCCGCATGGGGTCCCAGTGGAAAGAGGGGTACGGGAAGCGCTCTCCCCCTGGGATCGGGCTGAGGCCCATAAACGGGGTCATCATGCGTGTCCTGTCCAGACTACCGATACTGTTCATGGCATGGATGCCAGTCACTCCCACGGTCATGGGCATGGACGCCAGGGGCCCCGGGTGCACGCTGGCGCTGGCTGATGAGCTGGGTGGAGGCGCCTCTGAGGTCCTGTGGGCCTGTGGGGCCTCTGTAGGTAGGTCGTGGTCTTCCTTGCGTTCCTCTTTGACCTTGACCTCGGCGCTCTTCTTGGGGTTCTCGTAGGCCGGCTCACCCTTGCGTGGCTCGGCCTCCCGGCTAGAGGTGCTGTTAGGCCTGGTGCTATCCACACCTGGCGTCCTCACATAGGGTGACGGCACCCGGGACAGCTGCTTGGGTTCCTCGCCTGCTACACGTCCCTCGTGGCTGTGGCCATCTCTCTCAGGCAGGTGGCTTTCCTTGGCTTTGTGCTCTTCGGTGGGCAGGTCCTTTCGGGATCCCGAGTGGTCTCTCTCCCTCTCTTTTGGTTTATCTTTCTCACGAGCCTCAGTATTCAAATGACCCCTGGTCGTCTGATCAGTGGAGCTGCGGTTATGGCCCAGGGCGCTCACCGGGACGGGAGGTGCTGGGGAAGGATGGCTGGGGTGTCTTTTCTCAACGCTTTCCCTGCAAGGGGGAGAGGGGGGAAGAGATGAAATGGGCTTGCCAGCCAGGCAAGGAGCGGCCAATGAGATGGTGGTGTGAGGACAGGCTACATCACCCAGGGATCAGGCAGTGTCCTAGCCTAACCTAGATTCTAGAGGCAGTTTCATGGGTGAAGGCCTATAGATGAGGGTGAGTGTGTGTGTGTGTGTGGGGGGGTTAAGGTCACCGAGGAAGTGCATGGAGAGCCACTGTAGACCAGGGTGGTCACGAAGGAACACAGCAAAACAGCCCGCCTGCTTAGCTTCTCAGCATAGCTCTGGGTTAAGAATCCAGCCCAAACAGAAAACTTTCTTCTGACTCCAGATACGCAGTTAAGGAGAGGAAGAGTTTAATACAGACACGAGGGGGCTTTCGGGCAGCTGACTCTGGGAACAAAGGCCCTGCACTTCAGGTTGAGGGTAGTTGGAAAGGCAGCGCCACCCTCCAGATTCCTGGAGTGTCAGGGAGCTCCACGCTGACGTGTAGACAGACATGGGAGTCAGAACACAAAACCTCACTGACTGAGGACCCTGTAGGAGAGGACCCATGAAGAGACCGTGGAAGGAAGTTTTTAGGAACCTGGCTTGGTCAGGGCAGGTAAAAGGCAGGATAATAGACGATAAACAGTTCAGACGCAGAGAATTAAGAGGGAGCGAGCTGATGTATCTCGGGCCTCGGCTCAGGATGAATGTGGATGAGGGGAGAAGCCAGAGGTTGTGGGGATGAAACGTGGCAGAGGTCAGAGTGCAGGGGACCACCGCGGGGATGCTGGGGAAGCCGTCCTACAAATTCTGCTTCCTGCTAACACACAGAAGCTGACAAGAATAGCCTTAAAGGGGGAGAAAAGAATAAAAACATCTTTCAAGTTCCCCAACTTCAATACTCCATCAAGAAAAACCAAAGTAAGGCCTGCTGACTACAGGCTACATTCTACTCAATAGTAAGTGATTCAGAAACCCCAGGCTCTATGGGTGTGGCCTCCTATAGCACTTTAGAATTCCTATAGGTTTTTTTTTAATCACAACTTCCTTAAATGGTAATTTGTCTTTTTCCTCCTATAGAAAACCAACCAATGTAGCATGATGGATTATGAAAGACATCTAAGTCCATTTTTCTGAGACAGGGTCTCTCTAGGTAGCCCTGGGTGGCCTATGTAGGCCAGGCTGGCCTCCAACTCACAGAGATCCTCCTGCCTCTACCTCTAGAATGCTGGGATTAAAGGCGTGTGACACTTTATTGGTCATCTTCACAAAAAATGCGGAGACAATTTCTTCTTTGAAGATTTTTTTTTAGAAAAGGGTTAGTTAGTATGGAGACAACAATGGTTAATAAAATTAATAATTCCCTTGAAAAGCAAATGCAGAGCAGAGTTTCCTGGTGCTGCTGTCTAAATTCAGGTTAGTAAAAACAACAACAACAAAATTATAGTGATTGTGAGCCCCAGGGTTTTGAGTTTGGATGACACTTGAGGAAAAGAGGATGAGGTAAACATGACTTACTAGAAGCAAATGAAAAGGGAGTGAAAAGAGAAAAAAAATACACAAAAAAAACCTATGGGTGACTGATGGGTTTCACGACTCGAAAGCAAACATGGCAGATTTCATGCTGTGTGTGTCTGGCTCCAAGCTCCAACTGCTTGTCTACAGGATGATGTCTACTCGGACACACTAATGTTCCAGGGACTTCGGGTGGCTTGTATGGGTCACTGCTTCTGAGACAGGCACCCTGCACTATGCTCTAGTGACAGGTTACGGTGGTCACCGTCTGCTCGGCACCAGAGCGTGTAGGGAGGGCCACTTGGTACTGACTGGGAAGGGACTGCGGAGCTACAGAGGTCTTAAGCACAAGGCTGGGGCAAGGGACAGGAGGGTGGCTGGTTCTGACTGGAGGGCGGCACAGGGCGGTTTCTTTCCGTACCTTTCCTTGTCATCTTTACTAACGGAGGAGTCTCGTTTATCTACATCTCTATCTCTGTCATGGGCTGCAGCGGACGCACTGCGCTCCAACTCCCCTGGCTTCAGCCAGGGCGGAGGGGTCGGGAACGACGGAGGCGTTCGGTGCAGCCGGTTCCAGGGTTCGTGAGGATTGCTAAAGTTCTGCACACTGGGGCTATCCTTGTGGCCGAACACTGAGTTGGGTGCTGAAATGGTGAAGTGGAGAACAAAAAAGGTTTCAGAGAAATCTCAATAGAAACCCGTCGTAGTGAAGGTACTTACCAAAAACTTTAACAGCATTCAGAGTTAAAATGAATACATGTTATTGGCAGCTGGAAAAGGAAAGGAGATTAACACACTCATTAGAGGAACACTCGTCCTACACTCCAGAGGCAGCTCACAGCTTAAAAAAAAAAGTTCTATGAAGAGGAAAAAGTGAGACGGGGCGGAGCAGGTATGCGGATCCCCGGTCGGACACTGGTGGGCATGCAAAGTCCCAGGCATGCGGGAAGGCGCATGATGACCGTGTGACAGATGAACAGGTCAGCTCAGCAGAATCCCCTGGTCCTCTGCCCAGCACACTCTGCCGAATGCTACTCCTTCCAGCATCAATGACAATGAACATCCAAAAACCGTGTCCCGTGCAAGGCACGGATCTGCATGCTGTGTTTGCCTGCCTGCTTTCTTCCTTTCTCTTTTCGAGACAAGGTCTTACGGATCCCTGGATGACCTCAAATTCCTTTCACAGTTAAGGATGAGCCTAAAGCCCCCACCTTCCCAAGAGCGGGGATTACAGGCTTGCGCCATTTTCCTCGTACTGCTGGAGGCAGAGGACTTCCTGCTTGCCAGGCAAGGACTCTGCCCAGAGTAGCATCCCTGGGCCTGTCATTCTCCATTGCACCTCTTTTCCAGCTTGCGACATCCAAAGTAAAGCGAAGGCATTTTTTTTTTCTTTTTACAGCTGTAACCAAAGTAAACTTCTGGTAGTGACTGAGCACACTGCCATTCCTGACTCACAGAGCCTGTGTCAACAGTGAGCTCTCCTTACAACGTGGCTAGGGTACTTAAGCCCAACCTGCTTTTGGAAGGCTCTAACCCAAATTTGTTCCAGACAGATCCTCTAGTAAACACACACACACACACACACACACACACACACACACACACACGCACACGCACACGCACACGCACACGCACACATTTATTTATTTTACTTTATGTGTGTGGGTGCTCGCCTGCATGTCTGTATGTGTGCCATGTGTGTGCCTGGCGTCCAGTCTATAGAGGCCAGAAGAAGGCTTCAGATGCCCTGGAACTGGAGTCACAGACGGTTATGAGTTGTCACGTGGGTGCTGAGAACCAAGCCTGGGTCCTCTGTAAGAGCAGCAAGTCTTCTTTTCCTCTTACATCTCTCCGTCTCCGAAAGACATTATCCTTTCATGGTACCTCCATTTTCATTTTCTTTTCAACAGGGTCTTACTATGCAGCCCTGGCAGGCCTGGAACTCTCTTCTGTAGAGCAGGCTGGCCTCAAACTCAGAGAGATCCACCTGCCTCTGACTCCTGAGGGCTGGGATTAAAGGCGTGCGCCACGACTCCTGTCCCTTCCCTCTGTTTCTAAAGGATTTTTGGTGGAGTTTCGGAAGTAACTCTAGGCCTTGCCCATGCTAGACAAGCTCTCTATCATGGAGCTATGCCCTCAGGCCTCACTGGGGGACTTTAGGCAAGTGCTCTGTCACTGACCCATATACTCAATTTAAATTAGTTTTCCCGAAGTAATCTCTCCCTTCTCCTCCAAAGGTCTAAAGCCATGTACGGGTCAGAGAAACCGCGCAAGGGAGATATAAAAATGGAGAAGTACTCACTAACTGAAGGGTTGCCAAGTCCCCCGAAGGCATTGCCACCGACTGCAGCAAGGCCCGTGAATGTAGACGGCCGGTTAAAAGGCTCTGTGAACGAGAAGGGGAAGGAAGAGAAGGTGGTCAGGGACATGTCAGTGAGGGACACCTGTGTGCCGTTTGCTGGGAATGAGACAGACTCTGCTGTACCTCGACTCTCGCACTGGGCCGTGTAAGGGTATTCCTGTGCTTGGATGTAGGCACTGGGTTAGCAAGAGTTCCGAAGGGTTCCTTTTCCAGAGTGTCAGCCTTTGCATGATTCCAGCTTTGCACTTGGGCTGACACTGGGCAAACTCAGGAACCAGCGTTCTAAGCTGCCTTCCTGCCTGCAAAAGGTCCCCATCTGTCTCTGTCTCTGTCTCCCTTTTTCTCTCACTGCTTCAGACATGTCTCATTTAGCTCAGGCTGCCCTCAAACTTGATGTAAGTCAAGGCTAGACCTGAACTGATCCTCTTGCCTGATTTCTGTCTCCTGAGATTACATGCAGTAACAAAAAAGAGACGATACCAGGCAGTAGAGAGGGCTCAATGGTTAAGAGCACTGACTATTCTTCTAGAGGACCCGGGTTCAATTCCCAGCACCCACGTGGCAGCTCATAAGAGTCTGCAACTCCAGTTCCAGGGAACCTGACACACACTTCTGGCCTCTGAGGGCAATGCAGCAACATGCACAGACGTTCATGTAGGCAGAACACCCATACATGTAAAATAAAAATAAGTAATAAAAGCCAGGCGGTGGTGGTGCACGCCTTTAATCCCAGCACTTGGGAGGCAGAGGCAGGCGGATCTCTGTTGTTTGAGGCCAGCCTGATTTACACAGCAAGTTCCAAGACAGCCAGAGTTACATAGAGACCTTGTCTCAAAAATTCAAATAATAATATAATGATAAATGATATATTATAATTCTCCTATATATTCCCCACCAGGTTCCACTGCCTGTGACTGCACACTTTCTGGAAGTGTCAAACGGAAAGGCACAGACAGGAGAGACCAATTTAAAAAGCGTGAAAAACCAAAAGCAAAGAGCATGGCTCTTCGATAAAGTTCTCTTATTAATTCTTGCCTCATCTTTCTTTCTAGCTCCTAGAGGGACCCTTAGGTGTCCTCTACAGGCAGGGTGAGTCCACCCTAAACACACATGTTCTGAGATGTCAAGGGATACCTCCCTGTTCCAAGGCCCTTGTGATGGTTACTACCAAATGTCAACTTAACTGATTTAGAATAACCTAGGGGACACCCTCTGGGCACAGATGTGGGGGAATGTCTAGATTAGGTTGAGGTGGGCCAACCCACCCTCAGCGTATGTGGTACCAGCCCAGTGTGTGGATGCTGAGCACCAGCATCTGTCTCTCTCTGCTTCCTGACTGCACAATGTGACCAGCTGCCTCGGGCCCCTGCTGCCACGCCCCACCAATCCCGGGGTTGGAGATCCCAAGGTCCCTCTCCATGGAAGGCTTAGCAGGTGCCATGACTAGGCTGCCAGGAAGACCCCTCCATCTTTCCGACTCACCTAGGTGAGCGGCAGGGTTGAGAAAGTTACTGTGGTGAGGTGGCGGCCCAAAGGGGGTCCCAGTTGGATGTGCAGCACCTGCAAAACCAAACAGAGCAAAGCCAGAGTTTAGGGAAAAAGCCCTTGCTAGAGGGACCAAAGAAAAGGCATGAAGGTCAGATCCCGCTGCATCCACAGATGCATCCTGCAGATACAACGTGGTAACACGGTATTCCTGTTAGCGGCAAAAGAAGTCCCCCCTCCCATCTTTCCCAGCTGGACTGGTGGCCCACTTAGCTTTTGTCAACTTGACACCAAGCTGGAATCATCTGTGAAGAGGGAACTTTATTTGAGAAGATGCCTCTATCAGATTGGCCTGGGAGCAAGGCTGTGGGGCATTTTCTTTTTACAGCTGTAACCAAAGTAAACTTCTGGTAGTGACTGAGCACACTGCCATTCCTGACTCACAGAGCCTGTGTCAACAGTGAGCTCTCCTTACAACGTGGCTAAGGGTACTTAAACCCAACCTGCTTTTGGAAGGCTCTAACCCAAATTTGTTCCAGACAGATCCTCTAGTACACATACATACACACACACACACACACACACAATTATTTATTTTTACTTTATGTGTATGGGTGCTGACCCCATTTTATTATTATTATCTTAACATTTTTGTATGTATAAGTGTTTTGCCTCCATGTACACATACTTATCATCATGTGTCTGGTTCCTGCAGAGGCCTGAAGGCATTAGATTCCCTGGAAGTGAAGTTACAGAGAGTCAGACAGTTTTGAGTCACCACAAGGGTGCTGGGAATCAAACCTGGGTCCTCTGAAATAGTATCAAGTGCTCTTAACTGCTGAGCCATCTCTCCAGCCCCTCAATTTATGTTTCTTTAAAACACATCAGATCCCTTTCCTGCAGGAAGCTTGGAGGGGAGGGGAGGAGAGAACAGAAACGTGTGTGTGTGTGTGTGTGTGTGTGTGTGTGAATTACGGAAGGATGATATTTCTAAAAGCTTCACTTGTTAATGCCTGCTGGGAAGAAAGACCTGAGGAGATTTTGGGGCTTATTTCAGACATGAGTCCCAGACTCTGGGGATTCAAACTCAGGTCCTCACACTTGTATGACAAACACTTTTAACACCGAAATGTCTCTCTAGCTGTCTGTTTCTCTTTTGTATCACTGGTCCCTGGAGACAGCAAGGGTCGTGCAGGCTTGGGTTTGCAGAGAAAGGCTCAGCACATAAGGACAAAGTCTGGAATCTCAGGACATAAAGGTACCTAAGGGGTTATCTACCCACATGTACCAAGAAGTAAAAACTAACTTCTCATCTGCACACAGTGAACATGTTCCATAGCCTTCATTAGTCACCACCAATGTTGCCAGCCAAATAAAATTTGGGCCACATACTGTGTAGTACATGCTAGTTAATGTTCTGACAAAGACCAAGGTCCTTGGGGATGCCCACAGCTCCAGGATTATTGAAGCAAAAGAAGCCAATTCATCCATTTGGCTGCAATGAAGTCCAGAGAGAAATCTCTCTATTTCTCTCCAAAAATTGCTCTCCATGTATCCTTTTCTCAGAGCTAGGTGCCATGGTAACAGAGCCTTCAAATACATTCCCCAGGCAGAACCCACAGTAGGAAAACCTGAGACCCTGGCAATTCCACCCATCCCCAAGGGTGAATTATTTGCTCTGACCACGGCCTACTGTACTGATGTCTGTACGTCTCTCTTGCTCTACTGAACACGAATCCTGGATCAGAGCCTAGGAAGGCAGCAGGCAGGATGGATGTGGAACATGTTCCCTAAGGGTCAGAAATGGTGGACTCCTTCACTGTTTTTGTTCCTAAGGATAAATTCAGAATTCATACAGTGAGCACACAGAAGCCACTACAGCTAATGGAGCGCCACCACTCAAAACAATTTGCTGAGCTCTGTGGCAGGGACGGAGAACTAAAAGCTGCTTTAAGAAATAGGGCTACACCAAGAAACCCTGTCTCAAACCAGAAAGATGGAGCAGTAGCCACGTGTGGTAGAAAGGCCATCTCAGTACTCTGGAGGCTGAAGCAGCAGAGACTAAGTTCAAAGTCCACTTGCTCTACAAGTGAGTTCCAGACCCTCCAGGGTGGCTCAAAAAAAGAAAAGAAAGCATTGAATCATTAACAATACTTGGTACCAACAGGACCTGTGTGCTCGGTGTGTGTGTGTGTGTGTGTGTGTGTGTGTGTGTGTGTGTGTGTGTGTGTGTATGCTCACACTACAGCTCACTCTCGGTCTCCTAATTGCTGGGATTATAGGTGCGCACCACTATGCCCAATTTACGTCATGCTGCAGATGGAACCCAGGACTGAGTTGTGAACTAGGAAAGTTCTCTATCACCTGAGCTACATCCCCAACCCTGTTTATTTGTTTCGAGAAACCATGGCCCAGGCTGTGCTGAAGTTCACGGTGTAGCCCAGGCTTGCTTTGAATTATTAGCGTTTCTTCTGCTTCTGCTTCCCAAGTGCTGGCATGATACAGCCAAGTCACCACCCACGTGAAGCTAACTTCTCTTAACTGTTTGCCTTCACCGTGAGAGCCTCAAAAGGCTCTAAGGGTCATAGTGAGGAAACACCCACTAATTGTTCTGCAGGCCATAAAGGGGTGAGGTTAAAGTCATCCTTCCAGAGTCCCTGGATTTATTTCCTTTCCAATCTGCCCTGGCAAGCCTTCTGATCTTTTTTGATAGTTTTTTCCATTCCTTTGAGTTACTATCTATTTATCATAAGAACAAATGGTAAGCCAAAGCAATGCAAGTGTTGCAAGGCAACAGTGATGTCTGTAAGTGTGTGTACAAGTGCGTGTGCACATGTCTGCCCAGGAGTGTGAAGAGGAGAGGTCAACCTTAGGTATCTTTCCTCAGATGCTGTCCACCATATTTGATTTTTTTTATTTTTTGTTGAGGCAGCGCCTCATTACGCAGCCCTGGCTGCCCTGGAACATGCATTGTAGGTAAGGCTAGCCTCAAACTCAGAAAGATCTGCCTGGCCTTGTATCCCAAGTTCTGGGATTAAAGGCATGGGCCACCACACTTATTTCCACTTTGTTCTTTGAGACAGGATTTCTCACTGGCTTGGAACTCACCAATCCTAAGGACTGGCCTGTCTCTGCCTCCCACTGTTGTAATTACAAGCCAATGCACCCAGCTTGACTACCTCTTGGTCTGTGTTGAACAAAAGAGGGGGCTATCGATGAAGCAGGGCCCATTTCCCTAGCTGCATGGGGCATTACCTCACAAGCTGGTATACGCGGAATTCTTTAGTTATCACGTGACCGGGGACACCGAGCCCAAACATCACCTTTCCGCACCAACCTGGCCTCTGAACTCACCAGCGGCAGAGAACAAAGTGGAAGGCCGTGCCAGATCGTGGGGGTGATGGATGGCTCCGAAGAGACTGGGGCCTGGAGGGCGGCTCAGGAACTCAGGTTTCAGCCCAAAGTCCAGCTTGTGTGGGTCTGACTGCATCTGTTTCTAAAACAAGAGGAAGGAGAGAGGATGAAAGTGTGGGAAACAAGAAAGAGATACCGGTGAATAACCCAAGACTGGTGGGAGTGGTCAGTGCTGTACCCTTGGACTCTGAGGAAGTCAGGCTCACACATTCAGGGTGACAACGAAGCCTTCAGGTGCCAGGAAGCCAGCACGGCCTTGCAGGGACTGGCGGTGGCTGCTATAAGGTGATGCCTGCCTCCTACACCAGAAATAACGTCTAATGGCAAAGCCAGGGCTTGGCCTTCGAAGTGGTCCAGCCTGAGGGATACAACCAGACCCTGCTTAGTGAAAACCTAGCACCACTCTCCCACACAGCTCACTATTTTGTAGTTTATAAAGGCCTGGTTTGCAAGTTCCTCCCCTTCCCTCCACTCACATAGCCCAGACTTGCCTGGCCTCAAGCCCACTGTGTAACCGAGGATGACCGTGGATTCCTTATCCTGCCTCCGCCTCTATAGGAGTACAGCACCATGTATGGTGTCAGGGAGGAGGAAATGCGGGCTTAATGTGACCAGCTGAGTCACATCTCTAGACCTGGGGTCTTTTTGTGTGTTTTGAAGCAAAGTTCCATGTAGCTCAGGCTGCCCTGAAACTTGTTACATACTTGCGGGTATCCTTAGACACTTAATACTTCTGCCTCCAGCTCCCCAGTGCTGAGATTAGAGGTGTGCACCACCATGCCTGAATACAAGCCCCGCACCCCGAAGATTTATTTGTATGTGTGTGTGAGTGTGAGAGAGAGAAAGAGAGGAGGGGATGTGTGTGGGTGCCCACAGAGTCCCTGAAGCAGAGATACACAGGAGTTGCAAGTAGTTGTGAACCACCCGGATGGGTTCTTGGAAGGAAACTCGGTTACCCTGGAAGAGCAGTGTGCTGGCCAGTGGTTTGGGGTTTTTGTTTTGTTCTGTTCTATTTTTGTCTAGAGTCACTTAGAAAGAGGTAACTTCAGTTGAGAAAATGCCCCCATCAGATTGGCCGGTGAACAAGTCTGTGGGGCAGTTTCTTGATTAACGATGGATGTGGGAAGGCCCAGCCACTGAGTGTAGCGCCACCCCTGGGCAGGTGGTCAGTCCTCCACAGCCTCTGGTTCCTTGGGTTCCTGCCTTGACTTCCTTCGGTCGTGGGCTATGACAGGCAAGTGTAACCCTTTCCCCCCCAAGTTGCTCTTGCTCATGCGGGCATCACAGCCCTAGAAAGCAAACTAAGGCAAACAGTAAGTGTTCTTAATGGCTGAACCATCTATCCAGACCTTCTCCCTGCAAGCTTTTAAATGACAGTCTTTTAAAGCTCATTACATCTGGGATTCTGCAAGAACAGTCTAATGTACAAAATTAATTACCTAATGGCTCTTTGTCACATTCTAGGATATCCCAACACATTCATCAAATCACTGTTACATATGTTAAAAAACACAGAAGCTGGGGAGAAACTCATTTGTCAGGCAAAAATAAAGCTCTGAGTTTGACCCCTAGAATATACCCAAAAACAAACAAACAAACAAAAACAATGGAAAAAATGCTAAGGGTAATCGTGCAAGTTTATAATCCCAGCGGCTCAATGATCGGCCAGCCTAGTTTAATACGTGAACTACAGGCAAATGAGAGACTCTGTCTCAACGAGCAGAGTGGGTGGCTGCTGGGGACAACACCTGAGGCTGACATTTGACCTCACACAAGTACACACACTTGTACATGTACAACATACATGAATACTCATTACACACACACACATGCACATACACGTGTGTGCACACCCACTCAAAAGGATGTTTTTAATTTACAGGCATCTTTTCCTTTCCAACATCCACCATTACTTGAGGAGGGCGAAGTCAAACCAGATGTGTGAACTGTGCAGAGGCGCTGGTATGTGAAGTCATTACCATTCACCTGTAGCTGGCTTAGCTCCATTCCCTCAATGACCATGGAGATTAGCCTACTACTATGTTTTCCCGGGCTGCTACCCACCCAACATCATTCTGGAGGCTGGCATCCATCTGAACTGCAGGACATCAAATGTGCCCACCTTCCAGAGTTCTGACAGCCTTCCCTCTCAGTCAGCTCCCTGCCTCCCCAGAGTGACACTGTACACCCTGCTATCCTCCTCTTGCTCATTAGATGCCTGGGGCCTGCTCCTATTTGGCTCTTGCAATCTCCTGGGCTCCTCTGATGATCTCAGCCTCTTGACCCTGCTCTTGCTCTGCTTCAAACTCTCCTTTTCCAGGGAACCTGTTCTCTGCTGTGTAATGGTGGAAGCCTTTACAAAGGATAGGCACTCACACCGACATGGGTGTAAAAAATCACAGGGGAAGGAAGATAAGCCAACCCCCACTCAGCCATCAACTCTCTGGAAGTGAAACCTAGCAATGCACTTCTCGGAACGCACAGAACCTTCACCATTGTGTGTGCATGTGCCTATGGAGGACACAGGACATCTTTAGGTGTGGTTGGCAGGCACTGTCCACCTTCCATTGGAGACAGGGTCTATCAATGGCCTGGAGCTCACTAGGCTAGGCTGGCTGGCTAGCAAGCACCAGGGGTCCATCTGTTTTCACTTCCTTAGTTCTGGAATTGTGAGTGTAAGCCACCATGACCAGTTTTTCAGGTGGTTTCTGGGGGTTGAACTCAGGTGGCCAAGCACTTTACTAACTGAGTCATCTCCCTGGCTGACTACCTTTTACTTAAATGTGTATAACACACACACACACACACACACACACACACACACACACACAGTTTCACTACTGAACATATATGATAACAGGAAGGTCAGTGCCCTGAGTCTGTCACAGGAAACAGCCTGTAGGCCTAAGGTCTCCACTGATAATTCATGAGTGAATAAGAGAATGAGTAAATGTATATTCAGGAGCAAGAGACAGAGAGATGAAATTTCTGCTCCAATCTATGGGGAATACCATAATGAAAACCTCACTATCAAGGAACAGCCAAACCCCAAAACCAAGCTTCTAATTCTATGTAAATCTAGAAAAATCTTTGGAGCACCTCCTTTAATTTAGTTACCAAATTATTTAGTGCTAATATCGCACGGTAGACGGTGTGGACTCATTAAGTGGGAATCAGGTCCAACAGACAAAATGGGGGCTTGGAGATTAGAAACCGCTCCCTGGGAGAGGAAGATGAACTGAGTCACGCCATGTTCGAGATGCCTGGCTAATTGAATTGGGATAATGAAAGGCAAGTCACCGGGGGCGCTTTCATGGAACAGAAGTTACTAAAAGAGCGGCCCTCTCTGCTATCCTTCATCCCTTTAAACCCAGGGAGTTAAAAGGAAGACGAGGCTTACCTGCTGTTCTGACTGTCTCTGTCATCCAGAACCCAGAGTGAATTGAAGTCATCATGCAAACCTAGTTAGCTTTTCAAACTACACCCAATTCCTAGCTGAGCTGAACTGCAAGGGCTCTAATTAGGCCTCGCCTGGTGATAAGGTAAAAGTGAGTAAGACTCACTGAGGGGGGGTGAGGGAGGGCAGGTGCCCGGGAAACGAGGAGATGCCGTCACTTCTCAAAGGGGAGGCGAGCGCTTTCTTCTCTTACCCATTTTTGTGTGGGTGCATGTTCACACCACCCTGTGTATGTGCAAGCCAGGGGATAATTTTCAGGAGTCCGTTTTCTCTCTTTCCATCATGCTGGTCTAGGAATCGAACTCAGGTATTCCGAGTTGTCAGCAAGTGCCCTTAGCTGCTGAACCATCTCACCCTCTTTTTTTTTTTTTTGTTATATGTACACCTATATATAAATATCTAAATACAACCTGCTGAGACTGTTTGGAATTGCTTGTGTGTGTGTGTGTGTTTAGGACTATTCACTTGGTACTGGATACCCAATCAGGGTGCTCAACCTGTATCAATTCTCCCTCTCTCAGAAATCATTTATTATCATTACCATTATTATTATTATTATTATTATTATTATTATTATTATTGGTTTTTCAAGACAGGGTTTCTCTGTGTACCAGTTCTGGCTGTCCTGGAACTCACTTTGTAGACCAGGCTGTCCTTGAACTCACAGAGATCCGCCTGCCTCTGCCTCCCGAGTGCTGGGATTAAAGGCGTGCGCCACCACCATGCAGCTTCTCTCAGCAATCATCCAGGGGGAGGCCTTTGAGATTGCCCCCATCTGTGCTGGCTTATCAGCTGGCAGTGTCGTCGCTCAGGTTTGTTTTAAATCACGGACCCCTTTTCTCCTTCCTTCCCCCTCCCTCCCCACCTCTCCCACTCCCTCTCTCTTTTTTTAAAGAATTACATCTATCTGCCCATGCATCAATGCATATGGAGGACTGAGGACAATCCGGGGAAGTTAGTTCTCTCCTTCCATCATGTGAGTGCTAGGGAATCGAACTCAGGTCGTCAGGGTTGGTGGCGAGCACCTTTGCACACTAGACCCCTCTCTTTTTTTGAAACAAGCTTTCATCTATAAATGAGTAACTGGCCAGAAAGCAGTCCTGGTGAGGACTCGGTATCGTCTAGTCCCCAGAAGGATTGATGCTATGGGTAGAAGAGTAATTGTTCAAGACCGTAAATGACTATATGCATAGCCAATGAGCACCCAGTGCCTTCAACTTCTTGCAGGGTAGAAATTATCACTCCTCCAACTCCATAATATGAAAAAATGTATCTTTTTAAATATTTTTAAAAATACTTTTAATTTATGTGTATTTGTGCCTGAGTGTTCATATGGGTATGCCCATGCAGGGGCGCCCTTGGAGGCTGGACAATTGCATTGGACTCTCTGAAGCTAAAGATACAGATGGTTGTGAGCTGCTTGATATGGGTACTGGGAACTGAAGCCGGCTCCTAGGTGAGAGTGCTCTTAACTGCTCAGCCGTATCTCTAGCACCTCAATTTTTTGTTAAACACAAACAAATAAACAAACTGACTAGAGATATGAGACAGCCCAATGGTAAAGGAATCCACCACCAAGCCTAGTGACCCAAATTTGATCCCTGAGACTCACGTGGTAGAAAGAACTGACTCCTAAAACTTGTCCTGTATCTACACACACACACACACACACACACACACACACACTCACTCAATCGTTCACACTAAAACATGAATACATGAATAAAATGGAAAAACAAAATCCAAAAACTTCCAAACCCTAAAATATCCCTTATTGTCTCCTCCCAGGTTTAAGCCTTAAGTCTAGATTTTAATTCTTGCTCTAATGCAGTTCTACATAGATTTCCAAAAGCTTTGTTTTATGAGTTAATCAATTTTTATGCCCTTTCCATTCATGAGACCAACTCATCAAAAAGGAGAAGGGCATTAGCGGGTGATGCTTGTTTTAGCGTTTATGGTTTCCCTCAGAGACAAGGAGATTTCTGATTACCAGTTTGAAGATGGACTGGCCCTTGACCCTGCCTGCCTGTGCTTCTTGGACGACCTGAGACTGTCTCAAAACAACAGGAACAGTAATAAAGCAAGTCCCTGCCGCCTGCCTTGGCTCTCTGGCTTAGTTTTATACTTCCCTCCATGAGGTTCCCATGCCCCTGAGGCCAGCCCCACCCAGCTCTGCACAGGGAGGAGTCACACTGACCTTGACTTTCTGTTGGTGGTGGTAAATCTGCCAGGCGATATGCACGTGCATGGCGCACCACTTTCCTGGTTTCTGGAATAAGAAAGAAAGAATAGCCCGATCAGAAGGAAGACATGCCAGAAAGCCCGCTTTCGTTTGCCCCGGGTCCCCGCAGATCTGGGACATGGCGAGTTCTTTTCTTTCACGAGAACAGGAGAGCTGTGTCAATCAAATGCTTCCACTAGCGGCTCTGCCAAGCTCGGGCATGAGGGAGTCAGAACCTGCATCCCCTTGTCCCATGTGGGCATGAGACCACTGCTCCTTTACAAGGCAGTTCTTTGCCAAGGACAAGATGGCAAAGACCTGACTCTCTCTGTGTGGCTTGTCATCTCCAATGCCAGCAGGCAGGCCTATCGAGTATCAAGTCCCACCTAACAAATGCTGTCAAGCTAACAGGCACATCAGCTGTCCAGAAAGAGCTAATTAGGGGATGTCTGTGGATCGGATCGAAACAAGAGTGGGGACAGGGCCCTCAAAAGTGTTACACAGTGATCTGTCACATTCTTATTGCAGTCTGGCAACTTGGGATGTTTCACTGGGAGCCAGTAAGCCATGTGTGTGCGCGTGACTTTATTCACTGCTAGTTAAAAGAAGAGAAAAGGGGGAATGAGGGGCCAAGGAGGAGTGAATGCCTTTCTGCCTGCAGGGATCAAGTCTCTCTTCTGCCTGCTGAAGAGCGCTGGCCAATGCATGGGGCAACAGAGGGCGGGGCTGACTCCTTCCTTTCTGCTTAACGTGCTCCTCCAGTAAACACAAGGATGAGAGAGTCCTGCCCTGTTCGGCAACAACAAAAAGGACAGAGGCACCTGGTTTCTGTAGCAAGCTGCTGCCCCTGACTTAGATCCAAGTCTGATACCAGGTCTGCTCTTTCTGATAGAATTGTGGGATGTTCGTGATCCACAATGTGACCCACTTGGGGCAAGTGAAGAAAGGGGGTTGTGATGGCTAACCCTGCAGGACCTAGAGTCACCCAAGAGACAAGACGCCAGGCACACCGATGAGGGATGAGCTAGACGATGCCAGCCTCTGGAAATGCCCATGAGGGATGAGGTGATTAGGGTAACTGAGACGGGAAGGCCCACCCTAAATAAGGACATCGCTACTCCCTGGACTGGGGTCCCCGCCAGAATAAAAAGCAGACAGCGAGTTGAGCACCAGCATCCGTCTCTTGCTGCTTTTTACCCACGTTTTCCCACCTAGACCTCCTGGCCGTGACGTACTAGAACCTAACTGTGAGTCCAAAGACAGCCTTCCTGCGTTGGTCAGGCATTGTGTCACAGCAGAGAGAAAAGAGATTATGTGGCAGTCAGCATCAGGAACTGGGCCATCCAAACCACCGTCCATCTTCTTGTTTTTTGCCCCAGCTCTGTACTGGTCAAGTTAGTTTGTACCCAGAGGTCCCTCACTGGCCAGACTCTGGACTTCAGGCACATTCTGCCTATGTTTACAGCATCCTGCCCATCTGCACTGAATTCTCTGGGCAAAATAAATGGACCCAAGAGAGTCTGACGTCAGCTAACCTCTCACTTGTCCTTCCCTTTGCCTGTTATCCCAGCATAGCAAGAGGGAGGGCGCTTGAGTCTGGGATACGGAGGAAGAGAAAGACCTTGCCTCACAATAACAACACCTGGCCTAGTCTGTTACATTTCTTTAAAAAGATTGCTATTTCTTTTTTTTTTTTTTTTTTTTTTTTTTGGTTTTTTTTTGAGACAGGGTTTCTGTGTGGCTTTGGAGGCTGTCCTGGAACTCGCTTGGTAGTCCAGGCTGGTCTCGAACTCACAGAGATCCGCCTGCCTCTGCCTCCCGAGTGCTGGGATTAAAGGCGTGCGCCACCAACGCCCGGCTTGCTATTTCTTTTAAATAATGTGTGTGTGTGTGTCTGTGTGTCTGTGTGTGGGTATATGTGTGTGCAGTGTCCACAGTAGCCAGAAGAGGGGGTTGGATCCCTGAGAACTGGAGTTATTAGCCACCCAATATGGGTTCTAGGAACCACACTTGGGTCTTATGCAAGAGCAGCAAGTGCTCTTAACTTTAGGGTTATCTCTCTAGCCCTCCTGTCAGTTGTACTAAGGAAAAACACAGTGGCTCAGCTTCCTCTAGGACTCGAGGGAGGGTAGGAGGGAGGGGGAGGGAAGAAGGTAAGGAGGAGGGAGGAAGGGAGGAATGGAGGGAGGGAGGAAGGGAACAAAAGAAGGAAGGAAGGAAGGAAGGAAGGAAGGAAGGAAGGAAGGAAGGAAGGAAGGAAGGAAGGCAGGCAGACTTAGGTCATTTCCCAACCCCCTGCTTGCAAAACCAGCCACCATTAGCTACTGGCACTGCCTGAGTTCACTCTGGCTTCTCTCCAGTTCGGTCCCTGCTACTGATTTGTATTTTTAACCCATAGAGAGTCAGAGGTTGTAGAAACAGTTCTAGAAGAAGCTTTCCTTACCCTTAACATAGGTCTGAAAGGATCTGTCAACTGTGAAGAGAAAATGACAACTCGGTTACATGCCTGTCACTCAAACAATTGCCCTAATTAACAAATTTGTAGTGCTTCATTAGGAGGGGAAATTAAAATGTTAGAATTTTACTTTTAAATGAAGCCCTTTTAGAGAATAATTAACCCATTTTCACACCATCAAAAGTACCAAGTGTCCCCTCCCCCACTCAGGAGTCTCACAACATGCACAATGACAAGCTCCCCCCCCCCCATACAAGTTTCACCAGCAGAGACGTGCCCTATGCCAGCATGACTTGTGTGGAACCTACACCATGAGGAGCCCGTTTCTGACTGGCTCTGCCGCAGGCCACCGTGTGGGGCTCCGAAGAGAGAGCAGCCTCAGACTACAAAATGAAGGATGACATGGATGTGACAGCTGGTAATGCCTGTCTTGTCCAGACCCTGTAGACCCAGGCTGTCTTTACAACATCCTGGCTTCAGTAATATGTGCCATCTCTTCAAAAAAAAATCATAAAGTAAAAACTGCTTAGAGGGCATAGTTATTAGAGATGGTCAACAGACAAGCTCCCCTATATCATGCAGCGTCGCCTTCTGTTTTAGAGGCAAGCATAGCATCAATTATGAATAGATAATGTAACTGGGGAATGGAGATTTTATTTAGCTCTAGAACATGCTCCATCTGTAAGAGCAGAGTGGTCCAGTAACTTCCTGACCTCAAACAAGAAGATGAGGGTATGTGTATATATGTGTGTGGGGGGGGGGGTCCTAGCTTCCAGGAAGAAAATGCTCAGTGCTTTTCCATTCAGAAGATTCTACGGCCATTTCTTTTCTGCCAGAGAGAGGTACGAAGCTATAGACAGCTGACCAGTCAGGTGGAAGGTAGACAGGCTGGCGGCATTCAATTTCTGGGCTCAGAATCTTTTCTCTTTTGTGATCGGAGCCAATTACTCTGTATCTTTCTTGCAGTTGGGGAGACCGTGACTTCTATAAGGGACAGGCATTTTCTGACATGTACCATCAAAGGCGGGAGCACCTGGTGGGCCATCCTTTGCAAACGCCCCCGGCATTACCTGTGACCAAGCCTGACTTTGCACGTACCCTTGGGTCCTTTTGGAGGAGAGTGTGGGGGACCGTTCCAGGTCGAGCAGCCACGTCGATAGGGTTGGATGTCTACAAATGTATGAGACCACAGCTTAGGATGTGCAAGAAAGCCAAGTTTTGTCCTTTTCATAAAACAGCAGAAATGAAGCATTTCTTCTCGTTCTGAATTACCACTTTTTAAAAACTTTTATCTGTATATGTTGTATGTTTGTGGCTGAACCTGGAGCCATGGGGACCCTTTATTCTCTGTCTCCATAGAACCGAGACTACAAAAGTACATATACTACTGGCCCAGGGGTGGGGATGGGAGAGAGAGCTGGGACAGAAGGTTCAGCAGCAACCCACACAGCAAAGGAAATCCCTTAAACTGAGAGACGTTGTGGGGGAGGTCTGAGCTCACCAGCGTAGGGCCTGCGTGTGAGTTTAACACATTAGTGAAGGTACCAGAGAGGTTCTAAGGCTTGGATTTTGGGCTGCAGAGGTGGCTCAGCAGTTAAGAGTGCTTGCTGCTCTTGTAGGCGGGGCTGAGCTCAGTCCCCAGTACCCATATCAGACAGCTCACAACTGCCTGGAACTCTATCTCCTGAGGAATCTGATGCCTTGGGGCTCCTTGGGGCTCCTTGGGCCCTGTGGTCCCATGCACATACACAGAGACACACAATTAAAAATTTTTTAATCTTAAAAATGGCTGAAATTTAGGACCCTAATCCTATTCCCCCCACCCCATCCAGGGATTAGCAAGGAGTTCAGGGAAGATAGAGGATAAAAAGCTACACGCAGCTGGCCCCCTCTACAGGATCTAAGAAGCTACAGGGGTAACTTTACCCTCAAACCCTCTTCCCCGCTGACCCACACTTCTCATTTATTATTCTCTTGTTTTTCCTTCCTGCTTTACCACTAGACATTGAAATACTTAAGCGCACTCTCATTTTAGTGTCCACAAGAGGTGGATCTTTCAGAGGGCGGACAGGGTTGTACAGACACCGAGCTTCCTAAACAGTGTAACTGGCAGGTAGGAACAAGAAATTACACTCAGTAACTACTCATCAGCAATGGCAGGAAGGGAACAAGAGAACCTAATTTAGGGACAATGTAAGATTTACTAGTAAATTCTGCTGCTGTTCTTTCAATTCTCGTGAACATTCTTAAACATCTCTGGTAATATTAACAGCACCACTAGACAGTTTGTCTTCTGACTCAACAAGGAGTGACAAAAAAAGCCTGCTTCAAAGGAAACACTCCCCACTAATGTCTTGTGGGGAGATTTTTAAAAATAGTAGGGTGTTTTATTTTTTTATTATTATTATTATTATTATTTGCTTCTCTTTTGAGATGGGGACTCTTACTATGTAATTCTGGCTGGCCTGAAACTTGCTACATATACCAGGTTGGCCTTGAACTTAAGAGATCTGTCTGCTTCTGCCTCTCAAGGACTCGGATTGAAGGTGCATGCCACTATGCTCAGCTGTGGGAACTATTTTCTCCTTTATATATTTTATATAAAATTTTTACATCTCTCATATATTACACATGTTCCATGTACCCAATTGTCTGTATGTGTGTGAGTCTGTGTGTGGATCTGTCTGTGTGTGAGCACATGCGTGCAGGCCAGGGATCAGTTTCTTTCTTCCACCACGTGGTTCACGAGGATCCAGGTCAGTTCCCCAGGCTTGGTGGCATTTGCCTTTGCCTCCTAAACTGCTTTCCTAGTGTCTGGTGGTTATGGAAACTTATTCACGGGCCCACGTGCGTGTGTGTGCGTGTGTGTGTGTGTGTGTGTGTGCGCGTGTGTGTGTGTGTGTGCGTGTGTGTGTGTGTCTGTGTGTGTGTGTGTGTGTACAGACTCACAGGTTGCACAGGTGGAATTCAGAGGACAAGCTGTAAGAACTGGGTTTCTCCTTTTACCATGCAGGTTCTGGGGATAGCACTAGGGGTTGGTGGCAAGTGCCTTGACCCACTGAGGCATGGGCTGGTCCCTACTTTCTTTCAGTAGCTATCAACTGTGTGGATCCCTCACACTCGATGCTACCTGGTCAGAGAGCAGGGGGGAAAAGCTCGTTTAGGCGTGAAGCTTGCCTACGAGAAGTGTGGCAAGAAAGAGAATAGAAGAAAAGCAATCAGCTGCTGTACAACTAACAATTAAGCTGCAGTTGTTAACAGCCTGATTTGCATACATATGAAGAACTCCACTAATGAACAGCAATCTACATATTCAATCAGGAAGATGGTCTGGAAAGGCTTATTTCAACACCCAGAGACACTTTCTTGCCCAGATGTAGTTTGTGGTGTGATTGGATAATTGCAAGTGAGGGAAATAGTCTAATTTATTAAATGACCTACCAGTCTGTTTGGGGACACACTGGAGATTTGTCACAACCTAGTGGGGACACACCAGGGTCTGAGGGATTACTGAAGAACAGAGAATGGGGTCTAAAAATCGCCACCACTTGCGGCGGTCACTGTAAAAGGCCTGTGTACATATAGTCTGGCATTCAAGCTGCAATTCCCTGCACATAAGGGTGATTTCAAAGGCACAGCATCCAACCCCTAATGCCTTTTTAATTTCTCTTCCTGTCTCTGGTTTTTATGGCAACACACCTTTGAAGATGCATGTGTTCAATCCAGGAGACTCTGGTCGCAAACTGGTGCTTTGGCTTAAGAATGGGAATGGGCGGTGGGAAGGGGGCAGAAACCAAGCCACACACAGTACAACATCTCAACTAAAAGGGTTGGCAGCTGGAGAAGCGTATTTCACCTTAAAAATTAGTATTTAAGTAAAATAAGGGCCATAAAATACTGCTTTGTATTCTTTGGATGCTGTTGTGACTGAACCTAGGGAACTGTGCATGGAGACAAGCCATCTACGTCTGAGACACGCCCCAGGCCCCTCCTGGGGGAGCCTAGGGAGGTGCTCTACCACTGAGTCACACCGCCGGTTCTACCACAGTTGATTTTTGTAAAGGTAAAGTGTTGTCAAAATTACTTTTGAATACCAAACTTCATGGATAACTGAGCCTGTGTCGATCTGCATATAATTTAGTTCTTACTGAGAATAAAAGGTGAGTAAATTTCAAGGGCTAGGGAGATGGCTCAGTGGTTAAGAGCACTTGTTACTCATGCAGAGGACCTGGGTTTGGTTCCTAGCACCCACAGGACGGCTCACAACCATCCATGACTCCAGTGCCAGGAGTTCCAACCCCCACCCCCCATCTCCTTGAGCACCAACCACGCACATACAGACAAAATACTCATGCATGTAAAATAAAACCTAAAGAAAAGTAAATAAATTTAAAACGTGACTGTCGAAGCAGTGCGTCAGAAGCAAAGAACAGATCCTGGCCTTGGCGAGTGTGAAGATGGGGTGGGGGTGGGGTGGCGTACAGCTAGGCCTAAGAAGGAGCAGGGAGGGAGGAAGAGCACAGATAAGGTAAGCTCTTGCCTCGCCACCTCCAGGCAGACCCTGCTCCATGCACAGATGCGTGGCTGATACAGCCAAGGGCAGAGAGTAAACAGAAAAACCTCTCTCTCAGACAACAGAAAGAGCCAACAATCTTAGTGTGGGAACTTTTATCCCCGTTTCCCATTAAAAAAGCAAACAACGCTCAGCTCTGCATGCGTGTTCACCACGCACACCTTAAAGGAGACTTGGCATTTCCCAGTAAATGCGTAATGTTCAGTCGTGTTCCCCCAAATCCTTTTCTTCAGTGGTGTAGCTCCTGGTAAGTTTCCTTGTTCCTTCAAATAGACCCTCGCTCATGTTCCTGTGACCTTGGTTAAAAATCAATGGATTTTACAGGGGGAAAAAGACCCAAGAGGAGAGGAGGTTCACTGGCGGGAGTGAGAAGACAAGAGGTACATATGCCGAGGTATATTACATATATTATATGTATAGAAATGTCACGATGAAGCCCACGATTGCTTATAGTTAATACAGGGCAATGGGAAAACTTGTTAGAAAAAGAAACATTCGGAGTTTGGGGAGACAAAAATATAAGTGCATATGATGTACATATTCTGCATATGTTTTAACAGTTGGTTTTATTTATATGTAGGTGTGTGCATGCCAATGCACGTGTGAGTGTTCACAGAGGCCAGGAGAGGGCACTGAGTCTCCCAGAGCTCGAGGTACAGGTTGTGAGCTGCCTGATGTGGGCGCTGGGAACTGAACTTGGGTCCTTCGTAAGAGCGGAAAAAATAGCACTTAAACCACTCAGCCATCCTCCGGCCCCCTTTTCTGCATATTTTGAAGAGTATATAAAAACCTAGCCCAACTGGGACTACATGGGTCCTAGCAACACCAAGTCTAAAACTAAATGGACTAGAAGGAAGGTCTCATTCTACTCCGCATGCTCCTGTGAACTCATCGCTGCAGACAAGCACGGATACAGCCCACGTGCGTACCTAGCCTGGCCCTCCACTAAGATAGGCGCCCATGTCTTCACTCTGAGGCTCTTACCTTCGGCTGGAACGCTCCTTGGAGTGAACCGAAAGGGCCCGTGGGTGGGATCATGGGGGGTATACCCGAGACCGCAGGAGGGTAGGAGTGGAAGAGCTGTAGCCAAAGGTGGGGAGGGATTGAAAAAAAAAAAGGTTTTAGTAGGGGGCCACGTGATACGTCCCAATTCCCATAGAAAGACATCGACATTAGCAAGCCAACCAATCTCGGTGTGATGCCATTAGCCAAGCTATGATGAGACGAACACACAGATGCACCATGAATGTTTAACGAAAAAAGTTAAAAAGTAGTTCAGAATCAATCGGCCAACAAATGATGTCCCCGATGAGAACATCATTAGAGAGAGAGCGAGCTTTGCTAATTATTAATCAAGAAATCACACAGAAGCCCTCCATGCATATCGAAAACAGGGGATGCTAAGCCCAACAAGACGCCCAGGAAATTACAAGTGAATTAGGGGGGGAAGGAAGATGGAGAAAAGGAAGAGAAGGTCTTTAGGAGGGCCAGGATTTCGTATTGTTGAGACCTGATGAGTTTTAAATGAATTTAGATGTTTGGTGGTTGGAGGAAAAGAGGCTATTCACAATCCTTGCTTCATTAGGTTGTTCTCCAAGTGGCATTTCCAGAGGACAATTTAATCCCCTCATCTAAAATGATGATGGATATTTGTGGAGGGTTAAATGACTCGGTTTACATTTTAAATGGAACTGCCGATTTTCACAGAAAGTCTGAGAAGAATCATCTGATCTTGTCTCCCACCGCTGATCATCTGAAGAAATGACGCCGCAGCCCGGGACAGCATGTTTTAGTTGTAAGTTCCTCCTGTCCCAGACTTTTAGGTCCTCAAGGCCCCTGACATCCACACATAAAGCAGAGATCTTCCTGACCGCTTCTCACCTCGTGGGCTGCTCGGGGACAGGCTTGTTGGAGGCTACGGGAGGGGAGCTGAGCCCTGATGTGATTGTGACCACTCAATGGCACAAAGGACGGCTTCTAATGAAGTTTGAGTCTTCTGGACTCAACAGCTCACAAAGCACAAACAATGGCAGGGGAAACAAACTCAGCACACAGCCGAACCCGCGGTGTCGGCGGCGGCGGCAGCGCATCTCACTCCTGGAAAGATCTTCTCTGACTCCAGGATCAAACTGTCATATGATATCTAAGCAACTCCCCAGCTCCACTGCTAAGACGTACAAGACGTACGTCAAAAACACAATAACTAGCTTCCCTTAATAGTGCCCCAGGCTAGCTGTTTTTCAGCCACGCCTGAAAGCCACACTCCGCAACCCTATCTTCGGAGTGTGGGGTGTTTTCTGTCGCTTTCTGTCGCACTCTGCTCTCTCCAAAGATACCAAGAAGTTTTCCAGACTAATTGATATTGAACTAAATCCACTTAAACAGCGATTGCCAGCCAAGTACCCTCATTTAAAACTACTTTTAAGTCTAAAATTGTGTTTCAGCTACTTGAGCGCACTGCATCTTAATTTGCCTTATAATGTCCTAATCCCCAAAGCAGGGGAGACTACTTCATAGATTAGCCACTATCGCTAATATTATGAAATAACTCTCCCCCAGTACATTGTATAAAGCGGAGTAATTAAATGCATGCTGTAGTATAATGCTCACGTTTCTATGACTCTACCTCCAAGTGGTCCTTTCTTCTCTAATGGTTACAATTAAAAAGAAAAATGGGAGGCCCATTCTCCTCTCCTCCCCTCTGTTGCAGACCTCTTGGAATAGAAATACAGCTGACTCCTGCCCCTTGTCTTAAAGTCTGAAGTGTCTCAGTCATAAAACAGAAACTTCCCTGTCACTCGGGCCTCCACACTCCTCCACCTTTAACCCAGGGACCTTCTGTGGCCTAGGAGGAGGAAGGCACTGATGCATTGGTCTCATGAAGCCAGCCTAGGCCACCCACTGAGCATCAGACACCTTTTGTTAGGATTACTTCATTAACTGGTCTTCCATTTATTTGTTTTCAATGGTGTGTGTGTGTGTGTGTGTGTGTGTGTGTGTGTGTGTGAGCGTGCGCACACGTGGTGTGCTGAGAGATAGCCTATTTATCTTGGCTTTTTTAGACATTTTATTATTAGTGGGGGGGAAGCGTGGTATGTTTGGGGGGGATGTGTATGTGTAAGTCAGAGGCAACTCTGATAAACTAGTTCTCTTTCTACCTCTATGTGGGCGCTAGGGATTGAACTCGGGTCTCCAGGCTTGTGTGGCAAACATCTTTCCTCGCTGAGCCATCTCCTGGCTGTCTGTCTCGTTTTGAGAGACAGGATCTCTCGCTGGGATGTGCCTCCCACTAGCCTTGGGCATCCTCCTGTCTCCACCTCCCCAGTGCTGGGATTACAAGTGTGTATCATCATGTCAGGCCTTTTCACTTAGGATTAAACTCAAGTCCTCACACTTGTGAGGCAAAAACAGTATGGATTAAGCCAGCTCTCCAAACCCTGCCTGACCTTTCATTTAAATCTACAAAGCACCAAGCAAGGACAGGCACCCGCAATGAGGAAGCCCACAGATTGATTCTCATTGTCACTGTTGAAATACTTGTGTGCCCCAGTGCTCAGCAGTCCAGGGAGATCACACGGGGACTAAGTGACCTAAATATTCCTTTTCTCCCTCCTACTACCACTTTTATTTATTTAAATTCCCTCTCTCTCTCCCTCTCTCTCTCTCTCTCTCTCTCTCTCTCTCTCTCTCTGTGTGTGTGTGTGTGTGTGTGTGTGTGTGTGTGTGCATTCAAAAGTGTAGTGGCTGGAGTTACAGGCAGTTATGAGTCACAACCCTACCTGGATGCTGGGAACTGAACTCTTAACCAACCTCTCTGGTAAGACCATGGCTGACCTCAAGTTCCCTGTGTAGCTGAGGACGACCTTGAACTCTTGATCCTCTTGCCTCCACCCCCAACTTCTGGGGACATAGGTGTGCACTACCATGCCTGGTTCTGTCCAATGCTGAGGATGGAAGCCAGGGCCTCTTGCTCTACATCCCCTACCTGTCTAATTCCAAGAGCTCTTCCTTGGGCCAGTTCCGAACGCCTCTAGAGAGAAAACAGTCCTAACTGACTTCTAGTCTTTTCTGGTCTAGATGTCTTAGCTGCACTCTTGCACAGTAAGCAGCGTGCACGAATCTAGGCTTGAGTGAATCCTGCCTTTACGGATGTATTGAGCCGCATTACAACCGGGTGTTAAGACAGAGCTGTGCAATAAAGCAAAAGACCTGTATACTAGATCCACGTGACTATAATTACTACCCTTCCTTGTTTTCACTTTAAAGATACGAATTAACCAGTAAGCAAGGAGACTAGAGGAGTTTCAGATCACAATGATGCAGTATGCACCCCATAATCAAAATATCACAGTCCAATGGTCCGATCTCTCTCTACATAGAGAAGCTCTTGTGTCTTATATGGCTCAATATATAACTGAGATCAGTTTATACCCTGTAATATTTAAAATAGGTGATGCAGAAGTGCTTTTCAAATAAGCAACAGTGGGTCTAAAGAGAAAAACAGCGTTTTTCCCCACCTTAAGGCTTTTTTGTTTTGTTTTTGTTTTTCGAGGGACGGTCTCAGATTGCCCAAGGCTGGCCTTGATTTCTCCATCCTCCTGCCTCTATTCCCCAAACACTGTGTTAACAGATATGTGCCAACAAGTCTAGCTAAGACCTTTTTAAAATTAACTGACATTTTTAAAATTACTGCTCAATTGAAATAAGGTCTGGATAGCAATCTGGCTATGTGGGAAGGGGTTCTGTATTTATTCTAGAAGGGAAGAAAAATCCACTCTTTAAAGAGGCACGAGTCAAAATAGGGATGGGTAATTCATAGCAAAGGATCGAAATTTAATTCCAGGAGTTCTAGGTTTCTAGAATTTTGAACAGTGACTAAAATCTGCCATATCATACTCTCCCAAGCCAGTAAGGATTCTACTAACAGCCCACCCACTCTTTTGGACAGCTGTGTGGTTTCAGAAAGTTCCAAAACTGGGGCAATGCTAACGATTTACTGTCATCTGGCTTTTGTGAGACAGGGTCTCACACAGCCCAGGCTATCTTTGAACTCACTATGTAGCAAGGATAATCTTAACTCCTGACTCTCCTGCTTTCGCTTCTCTAGTTCCAGGCCAGCAGGCTGGCCCACCCCAACAGGATTGCGGACGATCTTTTGATTCGGAAGATGATACTGCATTGATACCCAAAGGGGGGGGGAAGGAAAGGCACACAAGCAAGCACCCCGGATGATAAAGGAGTGATGGGGAGACTCTTGCACAGATGACAGGGAAGGCTGCCAGGCGCTCACTCATCTGTGGCAAGAGCACGGAAATGGAAAAGGCGTGACAATGAATGTGTAGCGCAGTAGTATGACTCACGCTATGCCGGTAGAATGGGTCAACTTTGGTGGGGTATTTGTCAAACTGCAAAGGGATCAAAGCAAACGCTAGTTACTTTAGCCGCATGTTCTGCTCATCCCCCTCCAATGGAGGAGACCCACTAGACACACTTCCGTGACAACCTCGGGGTGCACAAAAAAAAAAAAGGAAAAAAGCAAGTCTCCCAACAAGTATCCAGAATGTAAATGCAGTGATAAGCCCGCCCAGTATGCCCCCACTCCTCGGGACCCCCGGCTGCTACGTCTGGGGACTGGCACAAGGCAAACACCCGAAGTGGAGGAAACAGGCAGTTATCCAGATCAACCAGGAAAGCGGACATTGCATCTGTACTGGACAGTTGTATGTCAACTTGACACAAGACAGAGCCATCCAAGAGCAGGGAACCTCAGTGGAGAAAGTGCCTCCAGATGACGGGCTGTGGAAAAGGCTTAGGCATTTTTAAATTAGTGATCAATGGAGGAGGGCCCAGCCTGCTGTGGGTGGGGCCATCCCGGGTTCTCTAAGAAAGCAGACTGAGAAAGTCAGGAGGAGCAAACCAGTAAGCAGCCCTCGCCGGGCGTTGGTGGCGCACGCCTTTAATCCCAGCACTTGGGAGGCAAAGGCAGACGGATCTCTGTGAGTTCGAGGCCAGCCTGGTCTACAAGAGCAAGTTCCAGGATAGCCTCCAAAGTCACAGAGAAACCCTGTCTTGAAAAAACAAACAAACAAACAAACAAAAAAAAGCAGCCATCCTCCGTGGCTTCTGCACCAGCTCCTGCCTCCAGGTTCCTGCCCAGTTTGAGTTCAGGCCTTGGTTTCCCTCAGTGGACTGTGACTCTGGATATGTACATCAAATCAGCCTTGCCCTCCCCCAAAACTGTTTTTGTCGTGGTGTTTCATCACAGCAATAAAAACCCTAAGAAGCCATCTAATTCATGCTGAGAACTATCCCCTTGTATTTTTATCTTTTCTATGGCAGGAAAACTACAGACTCTGCTGACTCAGGGAAACATGTTACAGTACAAAATGAGTGATTTGGGGGAGATCTTGGAGCCTTGCCTCTGAACAGTAAAAGCGTATTCTTTACAACAACAACAAAAATGTGTGTATGTCTGTGTGCCTGTGTGGGTGTGTACACAAGTATTCAGGTACCAAAGGAGGCCAGAAGAAGGTGATGGATCTCCTGCAGCTGAAGTTATAGGTGGTTGTGAGTTGTACAACAAGGAGGCTGGGAACTGAACTTTAGTCCACTGCAAGAACAGCAAGTGCTCTTAACCACTGAGCCATGTCTCCAGCCCTAAGTATTTCTTTAAATATTAAAGATAAGCAACATAATGTTGTGATAGTCACTTGCTATGGGCAGGTCTCTGTCTCAGAAAATATATAGACTTCTACTATAGCACCATTCATTGGTACTCCTGGTTTCCAAAACAAATACCCCAGTTCTCCACACATGTGCCAGTCCCCAGACAAGACAGAGTAAAAACTATGTCACTGCTGAGTTATATCTCTGTGGGACGTATCTGCCCCCACTGCCTGCTTGCTATCAGACATAACTTAAGTTTAGGGCACTGTGTCATATCACAGAATCATGAGAAGTATGGCAGTTCTAGGACAACAGAATTAGGGGAAATACAGGATCAAGGAAGAGGGAGTATCCAGAGCGAGCATCTTCCCAACAGGCCCCCTGCTTCTCTTCTCTTCACCCCCGATCTTTCCTAAGTATTTCTATATTGCTATTAAAGACTTTTAGATCTGGGGCCAATCATCCAGCATGCACAAGCAAACACAATAACCCCTTTAAGAAGTTAACGAGCCTTCATCTGAGTGTCTTGAAGGCACCCAGAATTAAATCTACCCACGGTGCCAGTGACAGACATCGAGAAACATATCCCGACTCTGATGTTCTAGAGCCAGAGTTCATCAGCAAAGATGGGCAGGACCCAAGGGATACGCCCTCTCCCACCAGAGTCCCCTCCACCATCCCCTCTCCAGTGTCTCCCAGTGCCCATGCCAACCCCCGAGCCAAGCTGCATGCTCTACTTATCCTCACATTTCTGCCTGGGGTACGCACCATGGGAGGTGCTGGCGTCGGCATGATGGCAGTGGGTGGGATGGCGTGGGGGAACGGCGTGAAGGTGTGCTGGTGCGTGTGCTGATGCGTGTGCTGGTGCTGATGCTGGTGCTGATGGAACTCGGTCCGCAGGTAGGGCGGTGGGCCCAGGGACGCCCCTCGGTCGGCGCTCTGAGAGGCCAGGAAACGCGTGTTTAGTTCCTGCCTCAAGATATCTTGTTCTGGAAAAGAAGGAAATGGAGATTATGGTGGTGGCACCTTTCCTTTCAGAACAGGACATCCTGGCTGCAGACACATCCAGTGTGCATACGACATGTAAGTGCATCACAGGGCGGCGATGAATCCGACCTGACACAGAATCATGAACTTATTTAGCACATTATGAGGTTCTTATTTTGTTTGAAACCGAGGGAGTCTCGTGTAACCCAGACTGACTCTGAACTCCCTATACAGCAGAGAATGACCTTGAACTCCCGATCCTGCTGACTCTGCCTCCTGAACTCTGGGGTGGCAGGCATGCAACACTATACATGGTTTTAAGTAGAGGTATGGATGGAACCCAGGGATTTCTGCATGTTGGGCAAGCACTCTACTACCTGAGCTACATTAGCAGTGCCACAATGAGTGTGTGTGTGTGTGTGTAAAACACTGATTGTGTGGTTCTCCAGTGTGAATGGATGGAGCATGCAGGGATAAGGACGATTTACTTGGGACACACAGGGGTGGAGTCAAAAGCAAGCTCAGTCACTTCCAGCATAGGCTGCTTGGTGAGTTATAAACTAATGAAAGATTGTCTCAAAGCAACAGCAGTAACAACAAACGTGTGGTATGTGGCTAAAACAACAACAAAAACAAGGTGGGTGACTGTGCCCTGAGGAATGCCATTTCCAGTTGACATTCTAGCTTCTAGACTCAGATAAACACATGTGCACAGACACAGACACACACACACACACACACACAGCATATTTAATTACTGTGGTACAGTGAGACACACCAGTCATTCATTATGTATTTGTTAATACTACCCGGTTCCCATGCTTTCTTCAAGGATTGGTATAAACTCTATGAAGTGGCATAACATGGCCAGACTAGATCAGAGTACAGGTTTGGTTAGTATAGTCAGGAGAAAGGAATGATAAAATCTATTACTAGGTCAATTCGTGTGTGTGTGTGTGTGTGTGTGTGTGTGTGTGTGTCACACTAGAACACACTTGTATGTGTGTTATCAACCTCAGGTGTCACTCCTCAGCTGGGTTCCGTATTTTTCTTTAAACAGACACTTACTTCTAATAGTTGATTTTTTTTATTTACTAATTTGTGTGTGGGTGTGTACATCACCACAGGAAAATTTTGGGGAGTTGTCCTTTTTCCACCATGGGGCCCTGGGGATGGAAGTCAGGTGGCCAGCTGTCGTGACAAATGCCTTTACTTACTAGCCATCTCACTGACATCACCTTGGTTTTATGCGGCAAAGCTCTCCCTGGCCTGTACCTCCCCAAAATGACTAGACGAGCTGGCCATGAGCCCTAGGATTCCTCTGTCTCTATGACCCCAGTGCTAGGATCGAAAGCGTGTACCACCATCCCTGTCTTTTATATGTGGGCTTTAGGGATTCAACTGGAGACCTCAGCTTTGCAAGGCAAATCCTATATTGAGTCTTCCCCCTAGCCTAATCATGTCTGTCTTCAAAATTCTGGGGTATATTGTCACCTCAACAGAACGTAAAGAGGGCCCCCCTGGAGAGACAACTCAGCAGTTAAGAGCTCATATTGTTGTTGTAGAGGATCTGCCCTTAGTTCTAAGCAGCCATGTCAGATAGCTCACAATCACCTGTGTAACTCCAGCTCCTGGGGATGCCCTCTTCTGGCCTTTTTGGTTATCTGCATACATGTGGATGTGATGTACACACATGCACACACACACATACACACACACCCCCCCACATATGCATGACTAAAATATTAAAATAATAAAAACAGACACAATACAAGATAGAAGGGGGTCTTATTTGACAAAATAAACCCCTACACCAATTCATAACCTAAAGATTCTGGGATGAAACATACTAGTCCATAATTGATGTCACAGTTTAACTGTGTGCCACTGAGCACATGCCATCCAATTTGCACTTAGTGGTGATGTCATAACAAAAAGGTATGACTTAGGCACCTCATTTCTTGTTCAGCATCAAGTTCATCACAGCTGTGTTGGGCAATTTGGAGGCGTTGGTATTTACTTTTGCTGAATCTCAGTCACATAAGATTGGAAGACTCAAAGAACACATCCAAGAGGGGTGAAAACGGTGAAGTAATATGGTCCAGTGATGAGGTGGCCTTCGAGGGGCACTGGGAGTATGGGTGTACCAACGAGACTGCCTCATCTTACCTGAGTAAGTGCTCCCTGCGGGATGCCCGGGCACCTGCAGACTTCCAGATGTCAGCGGCGGGGGAGGAGGCAGAGCGGTGGGAGGGGCGAACATATTGGGGTGATGTGAGTGGGCAGGGGGCTGGAGGGTGGGTGTGAAGCTGTGCAGGGGGCTGTGGTTGGGCAGAGAGAGGGGGAAAGGAGAGGCAGAGGGGTGGTGGGAGATGTGAGGGGGGGCCGGTTGGGTCTTGGCTGGAGTGCTGCTTCTGCTGCTGCTGTTAGGGTAAGAAAGGGGAAAGTCAGCCATTCAGTTTTTGTTGTCTGACTTTTGTTTAGTCTTTTACAGTAAAAGACTTTTTCTTGAGAGAGATTTCCTGTAGCCCAGGCTAATCTCCATCCCACTATATAACAGAGAGTGACCTTGGACTCACCCATCCATTTCCCCAGCTCTGGAATCACAGCCATGCACCACCATGCCCAGTTTATACGGTGCTGGGGATGTAAGCCAACATCCCATGCCCACTAGGCAAGCATTGTATCAAAAGAGCTATATCCTGAGGGAGGGGGGAGGGAAGGAGGGAGGGAGGGAGGGAGTCAGTCCTTGGCTGGTGAGATAACTCAGTCCAATGACCAGGGTTCAATCTGGCCCACATGATGAAAGCAGAGAACCGAATTCTACAACATACGCTCTGACCACCATACCAGGCATGGATGTGCCCACGTACAATCGTGCACAGACAAATAAATACACAAACGAGATTTTAGAAATTCTATCTCCCTGCCTATAGCCATTCCACGTGCCTGCCTTACCCCCTTCCTCTTTATCAATGTTCCCTGGCACCCAGCAGCCTTGTGAACCACAGACGGGTGTGCACCACCCGGCTTTTCTATACAGAAGCCAGGAGCTACCGTTCTGGATGGACCCCCACACCCTATTCAGGTGGCTCCTCCTGCCTCAATGTTAGGACCCCCTCTTATTTCTGCTGCAAAAATTTCACCTCCACCCTAGCAGGAGTCCAGCCTTCTTACTTCCATGAGCCACGCTGGCGGCAGCTGAGTTAAGAACATAGAATAAAACGTTTTTCTGAGTTCTGCCCCTCTGCCACTGTCACCCCGAGAGTGAAGGCGTCACAAGTGGGGGGTCAGGCTAGGAAGGGCTTCATTTCCTGTGATATAGACGTCTGGGCACACAGGTGAGGGCTTATCCACATCAGGCTGATTGAGATGAGATGCCCCGAATGTGGGCAGCACCACACTGACAACAAATGAGAAACAGGGCTGAGCGCCAGCATCCATCTCTCTCTGCTTTCTGACTGTGGATGCCCTGCGACCAGCTGCCTCACACTCCTGCCGCCACGCCTTCCCCTCCATGATGGGCTGGACCCTCAGATTGTGACCTGAAAGAAACCCTTCCTTCTTTAAATCACTTCTGTCAAGTATTTTGCCAGAGCAACGAGGGAAGCAACTAACACACCACTCTGGGTTCAGAGGGCCATGAGATGTTTCCTGTACACCTGGGGGATGGTGTACAGGAAACAAAGGAGTCCCTAAGCCATCAAAGCCACCCGCCTTCCCAATGGAAGGCAGAAACACAGATGGAGCCTGGGGACAGTGGCAGAGCTAGAATTAGTACCCTGGAGGCTGACCCCCCCCCTCTTCTTTGCAGGTATCATTTGTGCAGCTCTGTCAGCTGTCCTTTGGGAGGCCTGATGAAGTCAAAAGGGAGCCTGGCTCTCCAGCAGGAACCCTCTTTCAGCAGAGCTGGGTGACCCACAGGGCGGCACGGCGCAGTGGGAGAAAGATCCTCTAACAAAAGAAACCCAGACTCTTAGGGTCCCAGGCCTCTGGAAACACCAGCACAGCTTTCTTAAAATGCAGCCCCAGGGAGGCACAGAGCCTGCCTCATCAAGACTCAAGCCGGGAAAAATCTCCGGGTGTGCCTCAGCATGCTTGCCCTGCTCCAACCCCTGCTCTCTGCGCGGGTGCCCTGGTACACCCTCTAACTTTAGTTCGCTTGCTTGTTTCGAGACAGGGTTTCTCTGCGTAGCCCTGGCCATCCTGGCACTCGCTCTGTAGTTCAGCCCGGCCTCGAACTCACAGATCCGTGCCTCTGCCTCCCGAGTGCTGGGATTAAAGGCGTGCGTTGCCACGCCTGACCCCTCCAACTTTTTTTTTTTTCTGAAGCCACCTTTCTCTCCTTCCTGTATCACCTCAAGTCCCTGAAGGAATTTTATTTCACCCTCACCCCCCAAACCTATGTCCTCAACACCCAACCCACGAGACCCATACTCCACCAAAAGTTCCTTTCCCCATCTTTCAGCCTCACGGATTAAGAACCAGGGCACGTTGCAAACACACAACGCTAGTGACTGCTTCCCCATGGAAGATTAGGATCACTCACCTCAGGCTGTTGAGACTCAGGCTACTGCTGTTGTAGGCCGACAGTGGCTGGGAGAGGCTCTGAGAAGAGGGGTGCGATTGCACCGGCTGCGGGAGGGCCTGCTGGAGCAGATGACCGGGGGACAGCGGCCGGGGTGGCCTCTGCACCTGAGGAGGCTGTGGGGCAGGCTGCAGCTGGGCTTCTGGGGGGCCTGGGGCTGGCTGTGTACTTGGAGGAGGAAACTGGGGCGGAGCCTCCGTGCGCTGGACCAAGTCTGGGTCTGGAGATGGAATTTGGAGCTGGAGTTCGGCCTGGGGCTGGGATGGTAGCTGGGGGAGCTGAGGATGAGGGTCTTTGAGCACCACGGGTTCAAAGATGGGCTCTTTGCAACAGTCCTGGCTCTTCTCCTGACTTCTCTCTAGACCTGAGATCTTGGGGACAATTGGCCCCGAGTCTTGGTTGTCATGTTCAGGCAGCGGGCCAACACCTAACTCTGGATCTGAACGAGAGAGAAGAGACGAAAACAAAAAACAAAAACAAAACAGGGGGTCTGTGAAAGACAGCAAGGAACAGAGAAGGACAAGCAATCTTTACAAGATATGGAACATTCCCAACAAGACTCTGCATCTGCCGCCGGCACCCTGATTCCCATAGCTTCAGGGATGTACACCATCAGTAACTTCAGTTCCCTGGGATCCATCCTCCTTTCCCGACCTCTGAAGGCAGCAGGCACAGATGTTGTGCACAGATATACATGCAGGGAAAGTACCCAGATGTGCCAAAAAAATGCATAAAAATGAAAAAACACCCTAAAAAGATAAATAACACATATAAATAATATAAAAGAAAGAAAGATGCCACGTGAGTAAGGACTTTTATATGTGCCTGGAGAGGAAATTGGTGATAATATTGTCTCCAATGAAGGCAAAGGAAGTGACTCGGGCACAGCCCTTGTCCAGAATGCCACCTTCCTTCCCCGGCTAGGGGCCAGGGTGTAGTTCAATATAGAGTGCCTGCCAAGGATGCCCTATTGAAGGGCTAAGGGTACGGCCTCGTGTGCATGAAGTTCCATCCCCAGTACCACTGAAACCAAACGACAAAACGTGAAGTTGAAGGAGAAAGAAGTGGCTTGCTCTAGTTGTCCAGACATGCGACAGCTGTAAGTCTTGCGGTTGTGCCTATGTCACCGCCACCCTAGAGCCTGTTCTATAGGCCAGTCACACTAAGGGCATGACACCACTTCCCTTGCATGTACAAGGCCCTAGGGGTCAATCCCAAGTAGAAACCAAAAGATCCAAAAGACAAAAATAAAAAACAAGGATTCTTTTTTACAATAACAAATATCATGTAATCCTTGGGAATATGCTTGTTAGAGGAAATTATAGGGCCCACACATTTTTTGCAATGTATCCTAAACTTTTTTAGAAATGCTTATTATGCAAAACCTACAAATAAAAAGAGAGGAGGGAGAGAGGAGTCAAATATCTAAGAAGCAGCTCTCATTAGACGATGCCACCTCCTAGAAGAAGACTTTCAGGAATGTACAGTATGCTATTTGGCTGTGACAATAACTGGAGGGTCATTATTGATTCTTTTAAAAATGGATTTTATTTTTATTAATGTGCTTTTATTTCCAGTTTGACTGACTGTATCCCTGAAGTGTAAGCCAAATAAAGCCCTCCTTCCTTAAGGTGCTTTAATTTGGTAATTTGTCACAGCAATGAAAAGGAACTAACACAGAATGGTGGTTTAGAGTTTGGAACCTCGCAGGAGGTGGTGGCGCACGCCTTTAATCCCAGTATTTGGGAGGCAGAGGCAGGCGGATCTCTGTGATTTTGAGGCCAGCCTGGTCTACACAAAGAACTGTAGAACAGTGGAGGCTGTGTAGAGAAACCCTGCCCCTCCCTCTCAAGAAAGTTTAAGGGCAGCGAGTACTACCTAGAGAGAAACTAAATACAAATATTAATAGCCCAAACAAAGCAACCCACAAAATCAACAAAAGATTGCATCTGTCATGGTCCATAGCTACATAATGAGCTAGCCCCTTGTAACAACTTTCATTAACTCAGTGTCGGGGGCATGCCACCGTGCATGTGGAGGCCAGAGGACAACCTCTGCTCCTCGGTTCTCCAGAGACCCACATGATTCTACCATGTGCATCTTGGCCGTGAAACCCAGGCCATCAACCCTCACTAGCTAGCACCTACACCCACTGAGCCATCCGGCTGGCCCACATCTAACCATAACGCCTTCACTGTAAGCAGGCATTTCTACGCTTCCAAGTCTATTATGCCATTATAAAAAGCTATTCCTCTCTAATTTCTTCTTTACTTTTGAGACAGGGTTTCTTTATGTAGCCTTGGCTGTCCTGGAACTTCACTCCGTAGACCAGGCTGGCCTCAAACTTTGAGATCCAGCTGCTTCTGCCTCTCAAGTGCTGGAATTAAAGACGTGCACCACCAGCGTCTGCCTACGAGATCTTTATCACAGCACTTGAATGGGTACTGGGTTGGTAAGGTTGAGTGTGGTGTTCTCCGCTTGAATGGCAGCACGTCTTCAAGCCCAGTGACTTAACTGCTCAAAGGCAGTGACCACCTGCAAGCAGGAAGTTCTGTGAGTGCGAGCGCCCCCCACCCCTGAAAACGCAGGAAGTTCTGCGAGTGCGTTCCACGATGCCCACCATGCAGGAAGAGCTCACTGTGTCTATAATACCTGCAGGGAAGTGGCAGAGCCAGGGGTGGTGGCACACGCCTGTGATCCCAGTACACAGGAGACAGAAGCAAGTGGATCAGGAATTCAGAGCCAGCCCTGGCTATGCAGGGAGTCTGAGGCCAGCCTTGGCTACGTGAGATCCTCTTTCAGAATTAAGCAAGGAAACAAACAGAAGCCACCCGGAAAAAAATTATATTCAGGAATGTAAAAAAAAAATATTGTCACTTTGGTGTCAATGCTGAAAGTTATCAGTGTAAAACTATACATGTACACACAGGTTGACAAAACTACGTAGCAAAACATGGCTCTGGGTCTATGACTTTTTTTTCTTAACTTCTCAATGTTTGTAACATGAAAATGTGCCGCCAGGCAAAGAACAAAGACAGGTGGTATTACTTTTTAAAATGAGCTCATCCACCCTCAAAGAATTCACTGCTCCATGTCTTTTAGAATTCTCACCTAGGGGGATGGATTTTTGTTTTTAATGTAGGCCACCCACGGGAACGGTGCAGTGGATAAAAGGTGCATGCCACCTAGTCTGAGTTTGATCCCTGGGTACGTGAGGTAGGAGATAAGCAACACCTGCAAGCTGCCCTCTGACCACCACACATATGTGGTGGCATGCATGGGAATGCCCATATATACAAACATACAACATAAAGGGTGTCTTCTGTGGTTTACTGAGATTACCCAGGATGGGCTAATCTGATAGGGACCATAGCCTAAGACCCAGAAAGGGACCATAACCTAAGAATGACCACACCTGTTTCACATTGCCCTCCTGATCCCAGCATGGGCTCTCGCTCATGCCCAGTGCTCCTGATAGCACAAAGTCAATGATCTGCTGCCAAGAGGCACATGTGACTCCTATTTGACAGTGGCCATCTGTGATGGTGAATCTTTACTGTCAACAGCATGCAGAATCACCACAGAAACACATCTCTAAGTGTGTCCACGACACACTTTCTATGTAAGTTACACTGAGGTAGGAGGACCCACCCCCAAGGCAGGCAGCACTGGCTAGCCATATAGCCATAGACTGGGGTCCTGTACTTATGAAACAGAGAAAGCACGCTGAACATCAGCATTTATTTCTCTGTGTTCCCGACCGTGGATGTCATGAGACACAACACCTTCTGCACTTTCTGCATCATGCCTTCCCCATCAAGACAGGCTGTCTTCCTTCCTTAAGCTGTTTCTGTCGGCAAGAACAGTAACTAATACTCTGCATGATCAGGTTTTGACACAGAACAAAGAGCCTTTCATGGCCAACCTTGATTGCTAAACATTTCATTTCCTTTGTTGCTTTCAGAAAAGAAGAGTGATGAGGGCTTGCGGAATACTCAGTGGGAAAAGGCGCTTGCTGCTAGGCCTGACCATCTGAGTTTGATCCCCCAAACCCATATGGTGGAAGAAGATCAACGCCAGCAAATTGCCCTCTGACTTATACATGGGTGCTTGCACTTGCAAACACACACACACACACACACACACACACACACACACAGAGAGAGACAGAGAGAGACAGAGACAGAATGTAATTTTTTAAAGGTTAAAAAAATAGTGATGAGGGACCAAGTTGATGGAAGATCAAAGTTAGAATAAAAGAAATAGCCTGGCATTTGCTGGGGCTGAGGCTGGGGCTGGCTGCTTCCAATACTGTTTAAGAAGCCCAGACTCTCAGCTTCACATACAGTCCTCAAGCTGTTCCGATGGGCCAGGAAAAGAGCAGGCAAGTTTTGAATGCCATCATTTGCCCCGCACGGTGTGACCACATGAGAATGTGCCACCTAAGTGTGTGCAGTGCAGACCTGGCTCAGTGCAGACTTCAGAGACTGCCAAAACACCCGTGAAACCCTTCTTGAAAAGGAAATGACTTACATCGTAAAGCAACCATGCTCTCACCCGTTCTCCTTCCTGTTTCTCCCTCCCAGTGCTGGGACCGCAAGGGTATCCCTACACTTAGTCTCTCTTTTTTTTTTTTTTTTTTTTTTTTGCATGTCCCTTCTAGGACCCTGAACTCAGTCAGGCCTTCCTACTTGCATAGCAAGCATGTGACCAACTAAGCCAGTGCTCACAGCCAGTTTTCATCAAGTTCCCAGAGCTGTCACATGCACGGTACAGGAAGAAGCTCTGCCTTCAGAGCTTCAACCCACAACACCCTAAAAGCAAACAGTATCCTCTCAGAGTCACACACCTGTCCTGTCCCCAGCGATTTCTGGTGAGAACGGGGCTTCTCCTCGGGAGAGAAGTCCTCCATTTTGGCAGATGCATCCTGTATATACTCATGAGGGCCAGATGTAAAAGTGCTCTGTTCACATTACCTGCTGTGGCCCACATGGGCTGACTACAGCTAACCCACTGTGATGTGTCTGAGTGGTCTACGTATGAGCACCACAGAAACTTCTAGGATGAATCCATATGTTGCTCCAATGGTGAGAGAAATGGAACTAAGCTTTGATTGCTTAGATAAATAAAGAATATTAAAAGTGGAATTTCAATTTTCCCCCCTCCGTTAAGTTTTGAATCCCGTCATTTTCCAATGTACCTTACAACCTCAACATCCCAATGTGGTCACATGAGCACCATGTGGGAGCTTGGTAGGAACCGACCATTATTCTCGTGGGACACTGGGCCAAGTGTTTCTCTTTTCCTCTTTAGTTTTGAGACAGAGTATCGTGTACCCCAGGCTGGCCTTGAATTCCATATGCAGCCAACAAAGACCTTGAACTTCAGATCTACTACTACCAACACTCTCTTCCTTGGGAGATTACAGGTGTGCACCAC